TCGGCTGCTTCCTTTTCCTGCTTTTTTTCGCCTGAAAGTAGACATAATATGAGAAATAATACAGAGGTCACACAGCAAAAAAGTTTTGAGCTCTAAAAAACAGAGCAACGAAAATCGGGAAGCTATTCAACAAAAATTCAATAGACATACCGACACATTGCCTCCAATCGTTCTCATACGCCCATTCTGCTCGGGCTTTGTACTTGTTTCGGCCTGGGCCGGAACGGCCTCCACCATCTCCGCCCTTATTGGCGTTACAACCACTTCGTTGCTCTTTATCACCAACGCGCATTGCATCTTTTTCAAGAATGCTTTTTCCGCCATCTCCGAATTCATTATTTTAAACAATGACGCCTGAAATGAAAAGCGCCCCATTTATAGTTTCTCTCGAAGCGCCAAAAGATATTGCGACTGACTGTTATTTGCGTAGTACGCTGAAAGTGTAAAGCATCAGAATTTCTACACCATTTTGCATAATTTGCCTAGTAGGGGAAAATTATCGAAATCTGCGTACATCAACTCCTCGCGCACACATCAAATAAAAAGATGAAAAACTGGAAGTTTAGTGCCGCGTTGCTGGACAGTGGGCGAGGGCACAAACCGACTTCCGTTCATACCTCCTTCTATGGCCTAATTTAAATTCATGCCGTATCCAAATTCACATTAGCTTCATAACACAATCCAGGCTGGAACGAACCAGGCGGGCCAGTGCGATTATGCGTTCTTGCACTTTTCGTGCAGGGGCAAGATTGCAAAGAATCACAGTAGTTAACCGTGTGACATACTGGCCCTCGAACTTGGGGAAGTTAGCTGTGCAACTACGTGGTATGTCAGTTGTAGATGTCGACTTCGTGCCGTAGCAAGATCGCAAGGAATCACAGTAGCTGTTCGGTCTGTGTATACAGCTAAGGGATGAAACACAAACTGAGTTATAAAATGTGTTCATTCACATGACATTCAAGTGAAATCCTTCTATTCTTCTATTTCAGTGACTAGACAAATGGAAAGTTGGTGGTCCGCAAAAAAGGCCGCACTACAAGAGTTAAATTTGAAATCTTTTAGTCGCACATGAGTAGATAACATTCCCTCAAAATTAAAGCCTTCAGCTTCTCCCGTTCCCGAGTTAGCAGTTTTCCCATCAAAATTTTCAGGTGTCCGTACGTGAGTACCGGCAGTTTTAAGGATCTGAAATTGAAATCTTCTGGTCATACATGAGTAAGGAACAATACCCTAAAGTTTTAGTTTTCCAGCTTTTTTCGTTCTCGGGTTAGTGATTTCCGCGCCAAAGTTTCCACGCGCTCGTACGTGGGCTCGGGCGCTTCTAAACACCTGATTTTGCTCGTACATGAGTAAAGAACATTCCCGTTGGATTTCAGCTTCCCAGCTTTTTTCATCCCCGGATTAGTGATTTTCGCAGCGAAATTCCCACGTGCTCGTATGTGGGCCCCGGGTGCTTCTAAACACCTCATTTTGGTCATACATA